GCGATCCGTTGCCGGACACGGAAAAAGACAAAAAGACAAAAAAAAAAAAAAAAAGAAAAAGAAAATTATGTAGTTCAGGTTGGAAGATAAGAAGCAGTATCTCATCCCTTCCTTGAAGATGCTCGAATGTGTTTCAGCATCTATAACAGTTTCTGTCTTATGATGAGAAGTTCCTGACTTCATTCACGCACTTGTCTGATAGCCCTCTTCCCTGGAGGGTATTGCTTCCTTCAGGATTAACAGCATGTAGCTTTTCTTTCTCCGTATTTCTGATGACCTGTTTTGAGATTCTCATGGAATTCAAGTTTCCCATACGTGTAACTCCCTTCTAGAGTGACACACTTGGCTCCCATTATTTGCTTGCCTATTGGATCGATCATCCTATATGCAGCCAGTCTCCAACCTTCACCACCACCCCTCCATGTGTGGACACCCTATTCTCCCTGTTGGGTGCTGACTCCTTATTCCAGGCTGTCTGTTCGTGTGGACACCTTCCTCACTCAGCTCTGGCCCTGACGTCCCCTGCTGAGCAGCCCCACTGTGCAGACGCCCTCCCGACTGCCCTCGGTCTCTGAAGGACGTCCTCCCCTCCCTGCTCTGGCTTTGATTTCCCACATTGGGCTTTCTCTCACCTGGATGCTCTCTTGACCTACTTGGGCTCTGACACCCCGTGCAAGGCCGCCCCTCCCTATCCTACCCCTCCCCATCGCATCCCTCTTCATCCCGTTGGCGTCTGACATCTCATGCTACGTCTCCCCCTTGTAGATGTTCTCCTTACCCGCCCTGGGGTCTGCCAACTGCTCTGGGCCACTGTCCCTCTCTACCCCTACAATAGACAACGGCCTTGCTCTTCCCAAACTAATGACTTTAGGACTGAGATGATCAGAAAGAGAAGGCCTCAACTAGTTTGTTTAAAATACGAAGAACTGGAGGGAGGCCCAGATTTTTATGTGATTTTCCCAGGATCACAGAGAAGATTAGTGGCAGCATCAGTACAAACCCAGGTCTCCCTGAGTGTAAGCTGTGTGAGGACAGGGATCCTGTCTCTCTTGTTCACTATTCTATCCCCAGTGCCTAGCATAATGTCTGCATTGAGTGGAATGAGTGAATAAATAAATAATTTCTGGTTTAGCTCTTTTCCTTTTCTTCTTTGTCATCTTGTGTGTGTGCAAAAATTGGTGACCATGTACACATTTGTCTATAATCAGCAATAATTCATGCTTTTATGTAAATGTCAACATCTAAATTTCTGTGCCTAGTGATTTCTTCCATTCCGTGAATTTCTAGTGTTCCTAGCTGGATAGGTAGCAAGCCTTACAAGCAGAGTTATATGGCTGAGGACATGAAGGCCCTAGGAAGCTACAGCTATTGGAGCACTGCAGGATTCCAGCCCATCCACCGAGTGTGGAAGAGAGAATGTCTGAGCACCACCAAAGTTATTTTTCCAGTCCCTCGATTACATTTCCTTTAAAACATTTGGAACACTGCAAGAGACAAACACTATCACCACACAGCAAACCCAGGTCCCACAATCAAGACCATTCTGCAGATGATCACACAACGCAGTGCTTCCAAATCATATTCCAAAGAACACTATCTCTGAGAGATTCCTCTCAAGAAGAGGATTCTGGTCAAATAACACTGGGTACTTGGCAACTCAAAATGCACATGAGCATACTGAAGGCTCTAAGAAATTTTAGAGCAGAGGAAACTGTTTAACTTTGTGTAACCTGGTTTCATCCAAATTTATTTAACCACAGAGCTCCTGTTTAGAGTAATACCTTCCTTAGCCTTATTTCCTCATTCATGCAATGGGCAAAAGTGTTATCTGTTATATGGGGCTATTGTGTGGATTAAAAAGATAAAGACACAAATATGTAAAGTACATAGTACAGTGCTTGGTATATTCTAGATGTTTGATAAGTGCTAATTCCTTTTCTTAGATTTAGTGTTTTTTGAAAATTATCTTTATTCTTGAAAAGTAACATATATTTATTATAATAATTCAAAAAACAA